AAGGCGTAAATCCGCAAATCCTGGATTTACGGATTTGCCGGATTTAAAGAGCCACGATTTGCGTTTGGCTGGATTTACCTACTGCGAATAAATCCGATACCAAATACTCCCCGGATTTACACTCCTACCCCGCGACATTGGCGGATCTGTCTGGGATTTCCGTTTGTATCTTCACCTATCGAAACGAGCGAGAATGCGGAAGCTCTTCCCGCGGCGGCCGGCTCAGGCCGACTGGGGCTGTGATGCTGCCTCCGATGGGGGCATGGCAGACACGCCTTGGCAGCCAGAACGAAGGGGGCGACCACGAAAGGGTACGCTGTGGCATACGCACTGGTTTTTGTTCGGGCTGGCGATGGCGGCAATGATGTTTGTTTGGTTGTTCTCCGCTCAGCTGAACCTAATGAACGCCCTCGAGGGATCCATCGGTCGGGGGGTCGCCGTTCGTAGTGCGCCAAAGAGGCTGAGGCAGTTCGGCGCCGCTGTCCGATTCCGTCCGATTGATCTTTTGAGGAAGATGGAGGAGGGACGGCATCGGATCGATCGGCTGCGATCCACGGAACGGTTGGGCATTCGGCCACCAAGATTGGCTCTCGTGCGTAAACAATTTCCCTGATTTTATTTCTTTTCCGGTTATAGTTAGTTATTGTATATAATACTTCTTGATTGCTATGTACGTTCTTTCATTGATATTTCTATGTACGTAGAAAAGGAGAGCTTCGACCTGCAAGACAAATGTAACACAGAGGAAAGCAGAGGAGAAAGCTATAGTAATTTCGCTGTAATTCATCATATTGTTTTAGGTGCTACAGTGACTATTTATAACCAAAGCTTATGACATGTGTACGATGGTGATGGGTTGGTTTGTTATTATTGACACCACTATGATTATTCCATGTGGTCTCTGTGTTAGAAGCCGTTGGAGCGTTAGTGGAGGCCGTGGTTTGTTGCTGTAGTTGCCGGAGAGGAGGAAGAAGCTACTGTAGCTGTTGATGTTGTAGCTTATGCTAATACTTCCCTGCAAAGTGATGGTTCTGGTTGAACCGTTAGTTTGGTACGCAGGTGCTGGAAACGTCTGGTTGATAGAGGCTTTGTGAAGAGATATGCGAGCTGGTCCACAGTGTTGAGCGGATGCAGATTGATATGCTTGGCTTGAATATGATCACGTAGGAAATGGTGA